GAGAGCCCAGGCTATGTATTTGCCAAGATTGTAGTTGAATGAATCACAAGTGGACAGTATAGGTTGTAGGGGGCAGTCCTGTTTGTGTGGTTTGGGAATGCCATAGAGCTGTGGTGTGCGTGAATCAGTTTTACATAGATAAAAATAAAGATCGTCAGTAATCAAATTATCTTTTTTCATTTGTTATTCTATAAAGTTATTCTAAATAAATTTATTGTGAATTGGTAATTTTAATATGTATATTTTTATTTATAGTTTATTATCATACATTTATTGTAAAGATTGTTTTGCATTGTTAGCTTAAAACATGTATTACCAACCTAAATCTCCTGAGGTGGTTGAATCTTGGGATATATTGGGATTATGGCTGAAAATATTGTCAACAGCGAGGGTACCCAACTGATGAAATGATTCATTCTAGTCTTTACAAGTATACATGTAAGAAAAATATATTTAATTAACAATAATGATGACCAGTTGATTTTTAATTTTACTCTAAGTACCTTGCTTACTCTGATAAGAAGTTATTGTTATTATCATTATGTACATGTATGAAATATACAAGAAAGTTCAATATACATGACATAGGGACTACATGTATTCTATTGTTTTTTAATAAAGTAATGGTGATAAGTATGTCTTATACTTTATAGAATACCAGATTTGTACATTATATCAGGGATTTGATATTTTATGTTGAATGAAGTTTTGCACCTGTGTATGATTTGCAGTTTTTTTTTTTCAGTGAGGTAAAGAAGAAGAAATTAATTAAATAAATCCCAAATTTTTCACAATGTCCTGCTGTTTACTTGATTCTAACCTTGTCAAAATTGAGAAAAGGATAAATGCTAAGCTTCGGGGAAAAACAGTCAGTTTTGTCAGAGAAAAATACCTACGAGGAGATGTTTATTGCCACAGCCCAGTGTGTTTACATGGATGTATTACTGAAACAGGTAATTTTCTTTATGAATGCCTTGTGAAACAATTTAATAGTTATCTATTTTTATTGATCATTGTTTTTTCAGGGCTGTTTAGGATTTTTGCATAGCCATATATATAAATTATGATACACTTAAGACAGAGAGGTTTTAGTTTTACCTGACATGTGCTTTATCATAATTATCTTGCCAAATAAATGAAAATATGGTTTAGATAACAGTGCATCAGAATTTAATGAATCCATCATATTGTTAAATTAAGAAGGTGGTTAAAAAATACTAATTAGTCACTAAGAGAAGCATTTTATAGAGGGATATATTTTCAAAAAAATGGAAATTTGCAGAGTCAAAGTTGTTTGTTGGAGTATTTGACACCAGTCTTGATCTTGGATAATTTATGCAAATTTTTAAGTGATTGAATTAACTCTTCTTGCTGCTATTTGTATTTCAGTATTAAATTTGTTTTCAAAGTCAATGAAATTGAACTTAATTTCTTTACATGTGAAGTTAGTGATTTCCTTTTTATCTATGGGGTAATTAACTGAAACATAAAAATATTATACATTTTATATTCTATTTCAAATTAGATATATCTATGCTAATATTGTGTTGTTCTTTACCCTATACCATTGTAGTTTGTTCCTTTTAATATACCATATGTTTTGGAATATACATATCTATCTTAGTAGCATGATTTTACTACAGATTCAGAGCAGTCCAATATTTCCTGACCTCTTAAAATTCAGGGGCTTAGTCAGTACTGCAGAGTGGAGAGGAGGACTTTCCCCCCAAAAAATATGAACCTTTTCTTTTACACATTGAATTATAAGTGATTTACTTGAAAGTCAAGGGTTTATTAAAAAATTATCAGAAGTGGACCTTTTAGACTTTGCAAATTATTGTAGTACTAGTTTGATGCACACACCCTCTGGCTATGCCCCTGAAATTGATATATACTTTACATGACCTATTTTCTGTCTTTACAGTTTTTGCTCTGACTGTACTTTTATGTAGGACATATAAAATTTAATTAGTGAAGTATGTAACTCTGTTTGCTGTTAGTTATGCAGTAGTATATGTGACTTACCCATGTACCACTTATTTCTGCTTTGACAGAATCATACTAGCATATTGTATCAGACAGATTGATGCTCAAGGAGTTGAGCATCTTTCAGTCTGAACCCTCGCCAGCTTACTAGTGAATAGGGTCAATAGTTTAAAAGATATTCACAACCTCAAGTGTCAAGAGAGTCGCAAACAGCATCTGACAGTTTATGCAGACAAGTTCACTGCACTGCACTGTTGGGCTATTTAACTTTAAAGGTACGTATGATTGAGTGGATATTGGCATTTTTTCAATGAAGCTAAAGGATGTTGGAATCTTGGACATTCTCATATGATAGATATTGATTATGCTGGTCATCAGGCACTGTGAGTTGAAATTTGACGAATGGATGTCGGAAAATTTTGAAATTAGCTCTGGCTTCCCACAGGGATCCCTGATGAGTCCTGTCATCTTCAACGTATAAACAGCACATCTGGTCAACATACAAGGGAGTTGTATAGGGTCTGCAAGAAGCTATCAAAAGTCTGCCAGTGAACTATATCTAACAAAAGTCCATCCAACCAGATAAAGCCGGCTGGATGTTGGCTACAAGATTTCACAAAGACACCTCTCTCTTCACTCTAACATATACAGACAGAAGAGTTTCACATTAGAACTCTGTCAATTTTCTTGGTGTTTTGTTGGACCACAGAAAGAAACAAATTAATCATTTGAGAGATAAATCAGTGAATTCTTACCTTTTTCAAATATGCTGCAAAGTTCAGCAAAGGAGTGTTATCAATCTCTGATGAGAGCAATAGTCATGACCATAGTGGAGTATGGAATCCAGTTTTGTGCATCAGTAGCAAAATCAGGAAACCAGGTTACAAAGGGTGCAGAATACAGGCATGAGAATAGCAATAGGAGAAGCCAAATAAACTCCCTTTGACACCTTGCACTTTTTTGCTTGGTTTTAGCAGCATTACTACAAAGCAGAGGATTCTAGAGAGCCAAGCACCACTTGGAGCAACCACAGCTGTATCTCGTCTACTTCATCAACACTTGAGAGAGAGAGAGAAAGAGGGCAGATGAAGCCATAGATACAAAAACTGAAATATGTCAAGTTCATAGGTCATTGAAACCAAGAAAGATGTAGAGAAGATATGTCCACCAGAAATAATCAAGAGTTTTGAGTGGGTCCACTTAGATGGCATTAAGTTAAAAATTTACTTATAGAAATATTAACACACTGTATGCATCAAAATATTGGACAGTTAGGGTTTTGTGATTGTGTAAATGTTTTCAGAATTCATTTTATGGGTTAAATTGGTTAAATGTTAAAATAATAATATATTGATATTTCTTGTATAATTGATGATTTGAAAATTTAAGATTCATATTTATATCTAATTTAAGGTCTACTAAGCTTGCTGAAAGTTTTATTGGGATTAATATATTGATATTGCAGGTACTATACAAGTGAATGAATGCAGACTACTCACTAAGTTATCATCATATATGTTATCATCTGAGGGACTTAAAACATACAAATATTATAAACCTACTTTTATTTCAAGGTTTTCTGAATTAAACATTAATAATTAGTCTATACATAATTTTTGTTCACTGTTGGGGTTTCTATAATTAGTAGGTTCATAAATTCAGTATAGAATTTTTTTAAAAAGCAAAGTGTAATTTGTCTGAGAATGAGATTGGTACTGAACCTAAATAAACATGATATATAAACATATATAGAATTTAAATAAGACAAATTCCTAAATCATATACATAAAACACCAAAGTGAATAAATTTGTATATTTCTCAAAACATTTTTTAGTTTCAAATCTCAAAATGAAAATGTGCCAGTTAAATCTAAATCAATATTTCTTTCTTTTTTTTTTTATGTGTCAGCCACAAGAATAGGTCATCTTCCGACACAAGCCACACATTATGTAATCCCAGCATTTGACATTATATGCAATTTTCTTGAAATCTTGGAACTTCCAGAAATCAAAGGAATTATCTTTGTGCAGAGTGCACTTAACAGAGTAAGTACATTAATGTTCAAAATAATTTTTAATCAGTTGTATCGATAAGAAAATATTTAAATTATTAAAGATCTCTTATATATATCTCTTAATTTAATTACAAAATTATCAATTTGATATATATATTCATCATCTTTGCCATTATGTGCCTGATACACATCACCCATACCTTGGGTTGGGCAATGAAATATGCCCACCATTTACTTATGTATTGTAATTCAAAGTTATTCCTATCTACATTTACTAGATTTTTGAATTCCTTCCACATTTTTTGACAAAACAATATGAATATTTACATGTAGGTTTATTAAAGTTGGCATGAACATGTAAAGGACTGTTCAAAACAGGTATCTTCATTCATCTTTCTTAGCAACAGGCGAGATTGAAATTTTAAATTTTATCTGTACTAGCAGTTGGAAATGCTTTATTACCAAAAGATTCTTTTTAACTAGATGTCAACAAAAAAAGTGTAAAATAACAGTTGCTCAAACAGTAGCATGTATTGAATATTTATTTGTGACTTTTTTTCATTAAAACAACAAAAAATTGAGAATGTCAAGGTATAAACAGCACTGATAGAGAAAACAGTTGTCATGTTGCATATCTATTCATTAACGTGATGGAAGTGGTGTTTTTAAAAACAAAATGTTTTGATACTATTTTTTTAATAAACATTTGAGATGCTTAACAAAATATTTGGTACCTGGCAATTTGTTATAAAACAAGTAGTAAAAATTTACTTGCACACAAAAGCAAGCATTGACACTATCTTTTGATGAAATATTGCACTAAACTTGTGATTATCGTGATTGCCAGTTATCAAGAAAACTTCCAGGGTCTTTTTTTGGCAGTTATCAAGATAATTATAATATTTTAATATTCTGTAACACACCATAAGTAATTATAAGTTCTTTGATCCTGTAGTTTCAGGTGGTAAATCTAAGTTGGTGCTCACATAAAAACCATATAACCCAAACATTTTCGAAAGGTGGACCTTTCTTCTTCAGGGGCAAACTGAAGAAGAAATGTCCATGTTTTGAAAGTGATTAGGTTGTAGAGTATATATTTTTGTGTTAAACTGATTTTTTGAACCTATGTGTTTTCCTAACATTATAGCTTTAATTTGCATTCTCATTTACAAAGTTGGTACAGTCTTTTGATCTACAAAAAATAATTCATAAATCTAATTATTCTCTAGCAATTTAATTAATGCAATTTGTTTTAAATGCTGTACAGTACTCATTCTATTTCCCTGCCAAGAAACAATAATTGAGTTGAAATTTTAAACAAGTAACAATGAATGCCAACACTTACAATGTTGTTAATGTATAATACTTTGCAGTGACACGTTGATGGCTTTTTAAAAGCAGTTTATAAGTCCTGTGCTAGCATTTCGAAAGAAACCTTTAAAAAACTACTTAAAACTTCAGAAGTAGTCAAGTGACCAATGAGCTATAAAAATTCTTTACTTTGGCACTCTGTATCTTCAGTAATACAATTGTAGTTGAGTAGATGTACATCTAGACAATAAGATGCTAAGTTAGCCTTTGACTCGTACATTTCAAAAATCTCTGAATGAATGCAGTTGAAATAAGTAATAATGTTTTTAACCCCTGATGGGTACCACACTCACTTTGAACAGATTTGTTTGAGCTTTATAGCCTACATGTAGATGTACATACACATGTGTATAGTCATTAGAAAGAGCTCATTTTACACTATAAAGTAATAATGGATATTTTAAAATTGGTGAGCAGTTGTTTTCATAGAGTGCGTGTAACTGACTGTAGTATTGTTGGCTGCTTGATTGACTATAGCACTTATGGTTGTTCTCTACCTAAATATGTTATAGATAAAGATACAGTTTAAACTGTATTTAGGTCTTACTTTTATATTTTAATTAATTATGTATTAGTTATGTTTTAAAATGCATAATTGAAAGTTTAAACATTTTATATATATATATATATACCTCCTGCTTTGCATCAGTTCTCAAGGCTTCCGATATTACATGGAGCATGAGAATTTTGCCAAAGGGTTGCGCATATCTGCCAGAGACACTGTGATATGCCTCAAGGGCACCGTTGACTTGTCTCGAGATGAATAATAAGTGGTAAAGGACAAGAAAGGAAAATAAAACATTAAAAATTAGCTATATATGGAAAGGAAAAGACCTGAAATTATGAATTTAATAAAAGGAAGGTCATTAAAGATATTCTACAAAAAATTAAGAGGTATGTGTTTTTTTTCTATTTCCTAATTTTAATTATTTAATTTCATTGTACATTAATGACAATAGCTAGAGTTAGTGACATGGTAGGGAAAATGAAAAATGTAATTAAACATTTACCTTAAAAAGAACTTTTGGTATTCTTTTTGGAGGTTTTAGAGATTATGCAAATGAAATATGAAAACTATAAGATGAAGAATAGTATTTTTATAATTAAAATGAAAATCACTTTACATTCGATTTGTTAATAGTTTGAATGCAAGTAACTACAATAGATAATTAACATGTTTTTACTAAATACGTTTAATTAAAATAATGTCATTTTTTGTGTACAAAATAACTATGATCTTTAACAAAATCTTACCAGTTTTTGAGAGGACACATTAAGAAATCTCAAAGTTACTGTATGTATTGTTGCACAAGTGAAATTCTTGACACATTTTTCTCAAATTACAAGAGCCCGAGGCAAAATGGTTAAAACTATTCAGAAACTACTGATAATGAATTCATGTGAAACCACTCTGGAACTAGATGCTTTTTAACTGAATTTAATCTATAAAGCTTACAATTTAGTTATTCACCTCTCCATTTCCAATATGATATTTTACCTCATTGCAAGTTTTTGCTTGCCACTAACTGTGATACTTCCACTTATCTCTTCATACTAACATGCAAATGGTTATGCAGCAACCCTCCACCAGTAGGTGTGTGACACTACCCCTATCGCAACTAACGCCCTCCCTAATCGTGCAGCTGTTAATCACTTCTCAGTTGGCAGTCTTATTGAATAAACGTGTTTTTGCTCATGTTTTGATTCACTTATCCACAAGTTTTTTTACTTTCTTAATGTTTCTACTTTAATTTCATTGTTCTTTACCATTTTTGTTCTCTTTTATGGAGAGTTATGGATTATTTTATTTATCTTCTCTCCTCTTTCAATTTCATGAGTTATGCACTCACAGTTTCAGGTGATCACGACTCCAACTGCTGCAGCATAATTACTGCCCACATCCGATGGTTTGGAATCACAATTCTCAGCCCATGCAGTGATAACTCTGGTCTGTCAGGAGTTGACTAGTTTCATGCAACAATCAGAACAAACTGATGATGTCCTATTACAGTTTTCAATGTTTGGGAAGTTTTGGATTTGGACAGCTTTTTCCCCCCTCCTGAATCTCAGTCGCATGTCTTGTCAGGGAACTTGCCTAGACCACTTTCACCTTTTGGTGGCTTTGATTATTCAGTTATGTTATGTTCTTATCTTCAATTTCCTACGTTATACCCATCCCTTTTCAGGGACTAGACTTTGTGTCATTATTTTAGTGTTTCCTCCTTCCCTGTTTATTGGGTCGTTTTGGGGATCATTTGCATTCAGGGGTTGTTATGCCTCAATTCCCACATACTGTGGATGTTCATGCTTTTGACTTTCATGTCATTATTTTAATGTTTCCTCCTTCCCTGTATACTGGGTCGGTTTGGGGATCATTTGCATTCAGGGATCGTTTTGCCTCTATCCCCACATACTGTGGACAATCATGCTTTTGATTTTCATCATTCCAACATTGCTTCTCCCATAGTCAAGATCGAACCCCAATGGCTAGATTACTTTTTATTTTATTTGACTTACTTGGGTCAGGGTTGGGGGCCAGACTCCTTCAATTTGCCCACATGTGGAGGTCCTTGGTGGTTGATCCATGGTTTCTGAAAATCATTTCAGTGAGTCTGATCCTCCACTTCCATTCATCTCCCCAATTGTCTCACAGTCTTGTTTCCTTCCCTCCTCAGGATCCTGTTTTTTGCCTGCCTGATTCATTCTAGGGACCTTTTCCACCTTTCTTTGGATGTATAGCTGCTTCTTGCCTCCTCACAAGACGACTCAGTCCTACATCCTCAGTTTCTTCTCCAGGAAACTGTCATGGTGGGTTGGCTTGTCAAAATGGAGTAGTTTTTTCTCCCACCCACACAATGTTTTGGTTCATCATGAGGTATTTTTCAACTCCCTCTGTTGGGCCCTACCTGCTTCACTTCAGTTGGGAACTATGAAATGTCCCGTATGCAGCTTCTCATCCTCTCCTTTCATCAGTGGGTTTTGATAGACCAATGGAGCCTCTTCCCCCTCCCTTACAGGCTGACTTCAATTGGTGGTTAGATCGGAGCAATACTACCATGGGTGTACCTCTTTCTCCTGTTACGTCACCTTTTATAGATTCACTTCCTGTGGGCTTCTAAGGGCCAATTGGTGATGGTTCACTCCAACGTTTCTATAGTAGTCTCGTACATCACCATGCAAAGGGCACTTGATTGACAGACCTCAGTTTTCAAACCTTGGATCTTCTGTGTTGAGCCCACTGCTGTCCCATCATTTTATTGGCATGTCATAATCCAGGTGTCCTAAATCTAGTCGTGAATTGGCTGTACCAACACAATTCTCCCTTCTGGAGTGGTCCTTGGATCTACCCATTTTTTGTGTTTTGTGTGCTCTGTGGGGTGTCCCAGATTTGGATGCTTTTGCCACTCTTCTCCATACACCACTTTCCCGATTTTGGTCTCCTGTTCCTCATCCTCTGGCAGAAACAGTTGATGCTCAGAGTCAGGATTGGTCAGGTTGGTACCTGTATGCATATCCTCATAATCATCTCCTCCCACATGCCCTTGCCATACTTCAGACCACTGTTGCTTCATAAATATGTTCTTCCCAGACCGTACACTAGTGGACTAACATGAGTAAAGCAGACGGGGATTACTTCCCATCTCTGATGATCCATAGCATTGAGGCTCTTCCTACCATGGACCCGATGGACAATTCCAGATGCCACCAGGTGTTGGTTGATCAACTCCATTGACAGGATCACTCTGTTTTCAAAATAAAGTATCGAGGTCACCCATTTCACTGTCTCTGGTGCTGTGGTCCTCAGGACTGTCCAATGCATTTTTTCCCTCCTTCTTCTAGTGGAGTATAGGAGTCCTTGCCAATTACCAGTTCCTAACTGCTAGGGTGGTAAACCATGGAGGCCTATCCTCCTGGGTGTGCACCAATAGAGAGCAGTATAAATTAAGAAAGCTTTTTTTGTGAGGGAGGTAAGTATCTATCGGAAATACATTTACAGTTTAGGAAAATGTTATCTTTCCATTTATAGGTCTCCATATGCTGAACTTGGATAAACAATATTAACTTACTTTATTGTTTGCTAAGGTACTTTTTTCACACAAACAAGATTTGATGAATCCTTACGATTATAACTTTTTCAAAATATTTGTTATTGAAGGATAAACTATTTCTTTTTCATATCAGACATTTTTTTAAGAACTTGCACTATTTGATCAGCAGGTGTTAAAAATAAAAAAAAGTTAAAATATAGTGTGTAATAGGTGTGAGTCCTGACTTTTTCTTGAACCAAATACATTAACTTAATAATTAAACATATCAATACAAATATGAACCAAACATTTTATGTTGTTTTAGAGTTGAATATCATTTTAAATCACACAGTAATTATTTTGTTAATTTAGAAACTTACAAAAACTTTCAACAATAAAGATAAAATAGTATTCCATTTTGCACCTTAGAAATAAAACTACTTTTAAAGCCATAGTAGAATAGCTAAATGATATGATAATTTTACCATGTAATATGCACTAGTGCATATTTTTATCAGTGGAGTTTTCCTTTTTTTGCTTTTATATGTTTTAGTATGTTTATTATTTTATAATTTATAGTGTTTATTTCATATATTTTGCTTGGATTAGTATGATGTAAGTATTATTTTATGTCTATTTTATGGCTTATTGTGAACACCTTTTTAAATTGTTCTATTTTCACTTGCATGCTGGCTTTGCAAGTACTTTATATATTGTAATTACACTAATGTGCAAATAATTTATTTCCTATGAATTGTAGGTTTTGATTGATATTGGTAAGAGACATTACAAAAAGGCTTTGTCAATCATACGAGATCCTCGGAAAGAATGTGTGGCATTTCTGGATGAACTACATAAGGATACTTATATTGAGAAAGAAAATGGACATGGTTCAAAAGAGATATTACATTGGTAATTCTGAGTCTGGAATAAGTATTTCATATTTGGATAAACAACATTTTATTGTATGTCATTGACCATAAAATAAAAGCCTGTGTTTTGTTTTGTTGGTCATATAGATAAATTATATTTCTTTTACTTGTGAGCACGAAATGAAGATTAATTTTTTGTTCAGAATAAAATGTTTGAAATTGAATTATGTTCTAAATGAAATAACTGTAAAAATCACTTTTACCCCAATCTTTATAATGAAAATCATACAGTAGACTTTATACTTGATTTAAAGTATTAGTATGAAGTGAAGCAGGGTTCTTTCAAAAATATTATTGCTCTAATACCAGTATTTGAGTTATCAAAGACTTGTTCAATCTTAGAATGGAAAAAAAAACTTCCACATTCAAACTTTGTAACTGTTCAAAGTAACTTCCATGTGGATGTACTGCATAACATCTCATTAGCAATTTAAGCACAGTGTGACTTAAGTTGACATTATTGATGCTTATGCAGCATTTTGTATATTTAATACTCAACTGTTATTAGGTTTCTAATGTGAAAAATATGTTATCATTCTGATATTCCATGACCAAAATCACTTTTTGCGCATTCTGCCAGGATTATTGTCGTGATTTCCTAATAACTATCATCATACCTTATAGAATTTAAATTTTATGAATTTTGTTTTTACCTTCAGCATGAGTGGTACCCACATGAAGTATTGTTGAGTAAATTGGTTCAATCCTCTCCCTGTTGAGCATTTGGTGTTACCATTCAATGGGTAAATTGAAACTTTTGGCTGGATGCTGGCAGTGTCCGCTTGGGTTTAAGGAGATAACATGGGGATTTGATTAAAAATTGACTCATGAGTTCAACACTGAAAACTAGATGTTGCATGAAAAGAATCAAAGGGAAAACCATGTGATTAATTTTTAAAATCAGTGGCTAATGTTGTTATAACACACGTACAAAAAAAAATTGGAAATCAATATAGGGCAAAAATAATATGTCACTTTCTAAGTGTTGAATTATAGACACACTTAGCTGTAAATATAATAACTTGTTTGGAAAGATAATTACATCAGACATAAAGGTCCAACAGTCTCATTTACTGATAAAAGGTATTTTGTTATATTTAAAGTCCTTTAAAGACGTATATGATTTGTTAGAAATGCATGATATGTCTATGATTAGTGATTAATTGTGTGAGATCGGATTTTTGTCATTTCATTTCCCTATACATACAAGAAACTTTATTTCAGTTTTTCTTTTATAGTGCAACTTTTAGAACAGCGGTATGGTATCATGAGCATTTGCAAGGAAAAATACCAATTATCATAGTAACAGAGGACCCACAGGTAAGTATATAGTTGTTTAATTTCCAAGCCATTTTTCATAATTTTCTGTAAACTTTCAGTGTCCTGAGTAGACTTTTATCTTTAACACTTCTATTGTGTTATAAAGTTAGTTTCAATTCAGTTTAAAGTGTAAGTAAGTAAACTTGTTTATTATTTGATCACAGTGAAACCTCATTAATCTGAATGCATTTATAATGAAGTATTCCTTCCAGGTTATTGAGACATTTGGATAGTCGAATCAGTTACTTTGAATACAGTGGACACTATTAATAGCATGTGTTGTTCATTGATAAATGTAAGGGTGCAAACTAATAAGGATGGCCATGCATTGATAAACAAAAAACAACAATAAACTTAGCAATTTATTATTGTATATACTGTTAATAATTATGCAAATGGCATAATTAACATTGCTTCTCCCATAGTCAAGATCGAACTCCAATGGCTAGATTACTTTTTCTTTTATTTGACTTACTTAGGTAAGGGTTGGGAGGCCAGACTCCTTCAATTTGCCCACATGTGGAAGTCCTCGGTGGTCGATCCATGGGTTCTGAAAATCATTTCAATGGACTACATAAGTAAAGCAGAAGGGGATTGCTGCCAATCCCTGTCATGCTGCGAGTGACCAACTAGGTATGGTCTGCTTTTCAAAATAAGATTTCTTGGTCACCCATTGCACTGTCTCAGGTGTCAACGTTCATCCAGGCTCTCCATTGCATTCTCTCTTTCCTTTTCTTCTAGTGGAGTATGGGAGTCTTTACCACTTTCCAGTTCCAAGCCATTGTGGTGATTGAGTTCCACAACGAAAGGGCTAGAACCATTCAGTCGAGAGTAGGGCAGTGGTGTTCTGCTGGTGTAGATGAGATGTGGCCTCCAGAGGAGTTTAGCCGTCACCTTACTGGTTAACGTGGTCTTCTGATACCAATTCCACATCCACAGGGATTGAGCCTCAACCTTCCTGGATGGCGTGGCCTCCTGATACCATTTCCACAACCTCAGGAGTTGAGCCATCACCTTATGGTATGGCGTGGCCTCCTGATACCATTTCCACAAACACAGAAGTTGAGCTTTCACCTTGCCAGATGATGTGGCCTCCTGATTCCATTTACACAAACACCGTAGTTGAGCCGTCACATTACTGAATAAGGTGGCCTCCTGATACCATTTACTTACACAAGGAAGTTTAGCTGTCTCCTTACTGGATGATGTGACTTCCTGATGCCATTTACATAAACACTGGAGTTGAGCCATCGAAATTGCAGTTCACCCCTTCAATTGGGAGATCTCATTCTACCCTCGCATGGATGTCGGTACCCTGCTAAGAGGTTTTTGGATTAGAGTGAACCAATCACCATAAGTTCTCACACGAATTGATTCCATGTGATTGACATCCTTTCAATACCAGATGCCAATTCCCAGTTCGATATATCAGTGATTATCATCATGTTACACCCAGAAATCGGTACGGGTCATAATCCCTGATTCTTGGTTTTGAGGTGAAGACTGTATGATCCTCATCTTACCCTCATGTGGATGTTGGTACCCTGCAAGGAGGTTTTGTATTTAGTTGACTTACCAAAAATGGTCAACCATGCCTAATTACTGTACACCTCTCAATTTCTGCACTTATGTCTTACACATTCCACACATGGGCAAAGAGTATACCTGGCTCAGAAGTGGTGCGGTTCCCCTCTTTTGATCTATCTCTCTCATTGTCAGGGGTACCTTCGGATACTTTCGAGGGTACCTCTTTTGTTCTCTCGCACTGGTCCTTCCTCCTTCTCAATGTGGAATTCTAGCTAATCTTGTGAGTGGATGTAAGTACCGTATTGGAAGTTATAATTTTCCTATACTGAAAATGTGTTTCCAATAGGTACTTACTTCCTCTCACAATTCCCACCCTTCCTCCCCACTTCGGTGCTCACACCTTCTGCCAAACTTTGAAGTGAAGGTTCGGTAAAGGAGTGTAGAGGGAGTCACATGCATCACGTGAGCATATCATGCTACTATTGGTTAAGAGATGATGCATGATGATTTGCATTCCAACAGGGGGTGAGTGGAAGGCTTGTGGCATGCATAAAGAAAAAGTTTGCATATAGAGGGCAGCACTGAATGGGAATAGCTAATCTTGTATAGGTAAGTACCTATTGGAAATACATTTTCAGTATAGGAAAATTATAACTTTCCAATGGCCCCAATTTTATTAGTCTTAGAAGTTGTTCTTTAGTTTTTTTTTAGAAATCTAAAAAAATTCGTAATTTTAAAGGGATAGGCACAATGTTTAGGATAATAATGGTCTTTGAGTCATTAATGTAAGTATTTTTAGATAATCCCTTTCATTTTTGTGCATCATTTTAGGGTCACTAATCATTATATAGGTAAGCCTCAAGTGCTGGAGAATTGGGGAACAATAAAAAAGTTCTTTCATTGTTTACTTCCTTTAGTAAGATTGTTCCTATGTTTTAAAAGCATTTATTATGAGTAGCTTTCTATGTGAAACCTATGGTCATTCACTAAAAAAAGTAAAAATAAATAATTTAAGAATAAGCTATTGTACTAGCATTAATGTGAATGTTATTCAACAAGTGTACCAGTTAAAAGCAGACCTGGTGATTAGCATGACCAGATTCTTAATCAGAGAATTTATGATTTACATGCTCTTGATGAAAAATCATGCTCTACACTTGGGGCTATAGATGCATTATACGAGTGGTTATCAACTCTCACTATTTGGCCAGACAAGAGAAGCCTAAACTAGGTACTGTTGACTAGCTGCCTACCATCAGTTCAAAATTTGGGAAAGCCATGCAAAGACAACCCTCTGTAGCTTTGTGCTAAAAATCTACAACAAACAGTTTTAAATTAAATTAGTAGTAGTTAAACTAAATTCATTAATGACTAATCTTTACTTTGGGAGCTTTGTAGTTAATAATTAAAAGAATTATAGATACTTATAAATGAGTGATGTAAGAAATTAAAAAATATAAACATGGTTTTTAATGATCCATTTGGATATTAGAATTTGACAATGAAATTAGCTTTTCAGAATTTTAGTATCCAAAGTAAAATTGACACACTGAGGTTTAAGCATTTTATTTTGCAGGATTGTAAAGTATAACTTTTTTTTCAAATATATATATATATACACACACACACACAGATATCAATGTTGTATTATATTCATACAGGCAAAAGTACCCGTCCCCAGTGTTAGGAAAATTTTAAGTTAATCTATCAATTTATCTGAGCTACTTATACTGCCCACTGCGAAAAGTAATTGTTGAGCATTTCAGTCATGCTAAGAGCCACTCAATAATAACATATGGTAAATCTGTATTTTTATTATTTAAGTTACATCACATAATGTGATTAATTCCAAACAACTTAGTGTAAAATATCCCGCTTGAAAAATAAAATTTGCCATCAACATTATTCATGCCTGTTTCCCCATCATTTCAAAAGTGAATGTTTAGCTTTGCCTGCATGTGCAGCTTTTTAAATGCTGCACTGGAAATGGTCACCATAAACGGGAGTCAGATGAATGCTCAGCAGCACCATGTTTGCATTATGTATAAAATAATACGTCTTACCTATAAATGAACTATATAATTTTTGAAATTGTGTTTTCATTTCATAATTTTATTATTACAGTTATAATTGATTTTTCTTATTTAACCCTTTTGAATCAGGTGATAGAGAAATATGAAAACCAAACTCTTGGAGTTTTTGTAATTTCGTTTCGTAATTACTTAGAAGAGTTCTGGCCTGACTTGGAACAGGTGCTGGATCTGTTTGATTCTTTACAGACAATAGCTCAAACTGCTTCAGAAATTAAAACTTCTGGTAAGTCATTGGGGAGAAAAACTGTTTTTTTTCTTCTACATCATTTATTTTACTAGAATCAGATATTTAACTTAAATGGTTTCATAACTAACTTACTAAATTTTATATAGATCCAACTTCACTCTTTGAGAAAACTTGTGACTTCTGAACATCAATATGGTACATAACTGTGCCACTTGAACTTTTATGTGGAAGATATCATGTCACTGATAGAATTTAACCCTATAACAATAACATGTTTTAGACTGAAGCACGTTATGTAACTTGCTTTAAATTTTGTTCCAGTAATAAAACCAGTGGATAAAATTTTGATAAAAACTTTCATAAAAATATGTAGTTTGAGAAAAAGTAAAATATTTAATTTTAATAATAAAAATTCGTTATGTATTGTAGTTATTTGCACTCGGCCTCTGAATAGTTCGTCTGCAAGGAGATTTTTATTTTTATTATAATAATAATAATAATATTTATTATCTTACAGTTTTCACATTTCAGTTGCATAATCTCTAGAAACTCATAAATGAATGTCAAAAGTTTTTTTAAGGTAAATTTTATTTTCCTTTTCCTCTACCATATCACTAACTGTAGCTATTATCATCAACATACGGTGCTATGAAATGTTTAGAATTAAGAAATGGAAACATATACACACCTTTTAACTCTTCATTGAATAACCTTAAAATATCTTCCTTGGGTCTTATGTTTAATTTCTCGTCTTTATCTTTTCACTTGTAGTTTATTTTTAATGTCTTTTTTTCCTCTCCTGTTCTTTACCATTGATTATTTATGTCAACGGGCAATAGAACAGTATGAACAGCAGAGATACCTTTGCCTCCAACAAAGTCGTTTTATACATGCTTGGTGATGTAAACCTTGCAGAGTGAGGAATATTCCTGGTTATTTTATAAAAATTATTAAACCTTTCATATGTGAATTTTAGAACACAAATAATGCATACTTAACTATAATATATTTAAGTAAGAAACAACTAAGTGCTATCATGAACAAAGCAGACAAAAATAGTACAAGCAATTACATCTACCCAAGAATGACAACTTGGTGCCAATTTCAGAATAACCATTGTTATATTATAGTGTAAAATGAGCTCTTTCTAATGACTATAAATACGTACATGTTGAAAGTACATGTAACTTCTAAGCTCAACTTAAACTATAAAAGAGGTTAACAAAATTTATTTATAGTTTCAACTGCATTCAGCCTAAGAACTTTGAAACATATGTGGCAGAAAGGCAAATAAACTACATTCTTGTCTAGCCTGACATGTATCTGACGACCTCCCTCTGTTTCAAGCTGTAGTTTGCCAAATTAATTTGATCATTGTTTATAGCTCATGCATCATATGACACAAAACTGAGATATTTCATTATTGCTTTCAATGTTGTTTTTTAAATAAAGGATTAAAACTAGGATAACATAAAACTTTGAACTATAACATACTTGCTAATAATAGTTTCATTAAAATACATTGATATTAAAGTAGTTTAATTAGATTTTGAATGTAACTCGGTGACATGCAAAGAAAGAAGTTTAAAAAGTCATTGTTAAATTATAATGGTCTGATTATCAGATAAAGTGTTTTGTGTGAATTGACATTTTATTAGTATTCTCTGTGACATATAATTTGAAATTGAATTTCAGCAATTTTCAAATTTATTGGAACAATTTCCATTTATCATAAAGTATTATAAACTGCTATTAAGATTTTTTATTTCATTTTGCAATATTGTTTTCCATGTTATTGTCCAAGCAACAAACTATATATTTTCGGTTTCCATCAGTGATTCTTCTTAAAACAGAGCAAATGATTGTTGATGTTTAAAGTTGTGTGCTTGTCAGTAGTGCTCAAAAAAGAATATGT